AAAGCACATGAACCCAGTTTAAACACTTTACCGAAAAGCAGTTGCTCATCATCAGGCCTTTGTGATCTTATTAAATATGCCATGTCATTTTGGTCCGGTGAATATTCATTCCGACTGGAATCTCTGATGGTAATATATAATAAAAAATACTTCTTGGCAAAACCAGAAATATTGTTGTTTTCCTGGGGATTTAATCCAGGGCGTTTAAACCAGTGGTATTTCCCAGCCATTTTTATTTATTTTTGTTTTTGTTGTTCTTATTTGAGACAAAGTCTCACAGAATTTCCCAGGCTGGCCTGAAACTTGTGATCCTCCTGCCTCAGCCTCATGCATAGCTGGAATTACAGATTGTGTGGCACTGCTCCCAGCTTGTAGGCACGATTTGCTATGTACATCAGACCAGGATCAAACCTGGTATTCTACACTTTGAAAACGTTTTCTGCTTGTTATTTTCATGCTTGTTGGTTCCCTACAATCTCTTCGCCTAATCTTCTAGGTAATAAGCATGTTCTGAGGGCTTCTTCAAGCCAAAGAACTAAGACTTCTTCCTGAAAATGAGTCTGCCTTTTCCTCTGTGGAAGAAATCAATAAAGGCTTTTCCAGAATCTGGAGGGAAGGAACTGTGCCCTGACTAAGATGGTGGCACAGGCATGAGGAAGAGGGGCTGGGCTCTGGGGAGTCAAGGGACAGGACTTGCTAACAATGCCTGTGGGTGTGACAGACAGGAAGGAGCGAAGGGTGCAGTCAAGGTTTTTGGCTGAGCCAGTAGAAGAGAACTGCAGTTGCTGCACTGGAAAGGAATGTGAGAATGAAGTCACAGGATAAGTTTGAGATCACCCAATGGAGGCTCCCCTTTCCTGTGCTGTGTCTAGGTGAACACATTCTGTCTTCACTACAGCTCTCTATTGTTTTGTTTTTTGGTGCTTGCTTTGTTTTGCCACAGGGTTTCACTATGACGTCCAAGCTGGGCTTGAATCCACCATGTAGCCCAGGCTGGCCTTAAACTCACGATCGTCCTGCTTCAGCCTCCCAAGTGCCGTGATCCCTGGTATGCACCTCCATGCCCACCTGAGTAGGTCCTGTTCTTACCCCTATTTATGGATGAGGAACTGAGGCTTCACTTCCATGATACCTTGGATTCCTCATTGGTGAAGTGAAGATGACGAACTCCTGAGTTCCCTACTATGCCGCCTCTCGGGAGGAGAGACTGATGCAGGGTTACAACAACATCCGGAGTTGTGTAAGGAAAGCCAGAGGAGCCAAAATTGTACAAAGCAGAAGCATTTTCCAAAGTTTGCCCATGGAGTTAAGAGTCAAAGAAGCCCTCAAAGAGAATGTAACATTAGGATCAATGGACATTGTCTCCATTATTTTTCTGGTGGGTTGGACAAAATACCCAACACCCAAAGTTAAAGGAGGAAAAGATCATTTAGCTCAAAGTTTATAGAGCTTTGTGTATAATCGGTTAATTCCAAGGCAGGGTGGCATGGCAAACAGGCATCGTAGGGGAGAAACAGTTCATGGTGGGCAAGGTAGCAAAGCAAGTAAGCAAGGGCTCTTAGCAGCTTTTTTCTGCCCCTTTTATAATACAGGCTACAGGGAAAAGGGTGGTACCAAGTCAATCAGAGTACTGATTTAATAATAACCCACCCTTAGTCCTATCATTGCACTGTGAATCATATTTAGCCACACTCTAGATTTAGCCACCTCTAAAAAATCCCCACCTATAACCACATGAGGTTTGGGGGGAACATCTAGACACAAGGCATAACAGTCATGCTAAGAAGAATTTCAGGAAGAAGACTAGAAAAGGAATGAAAGAGCATTCTAAGCAGAGGGAACTAATTGAGCAGAAGCTGGGGATAATTTTTTTTTTTTGAAACAAGGTCCCACTATGTATAGCAGACACCTCTCCCCAGTATTAGCAGGCTACAGTGGCACAGGCTTCTAGCCCCTCCATAATTTGGCTGTGTTACATTGGAAGTAGCAGAGCTTGGCTGAGTTCATTTCCAGCCAAGGTCAACTGACTGCAACTAAATTATTCCCCTGTGAATTAACCATTCATTCTGCAAAGATATTCTAGTGCCCTCATTCCACAGTCCTGCCTGTGATAAGCCACTAACAGCAGGTGTCCTGAGGCTGCCCAGCTCCTCCTTCCCATGGTTGTAATGAATAAACACTGGATGTCCTTGGGGTCCTTTGTCTTGGTTGCCCAGAGCAGCTTGGATGACCCAAGACTCAGTTTCTTTCAAGTTTCTGTCTCTGTGTCTTTATTCCTTTGTTACTATCTCACAGACATCATACTGGCTCATAGAAGATCAAGATCACAGCCAGGGTTTTTGACAACATCTCATAGCTATGTAGAAAAAAATCAAGCAGGATTTCATCATCAGTGTGTCGGTGGTCTGTTTTGGCAGTTTTAAAGGGACAGACAAGTCTGGTTGAGGCAGGAGCATTGCAAGTTTAAAGGGCTGGGGATGGAGTTCAGTGGTACAGTGCTTGGCCAGCATGTGTTAGGTCCTGGGTTCAATCCCCAGCAGCATACGTGGACACACACAGAACTCGGGTGAGTAAGGCAGGTATGACCATGTGAAAGGTTTTTTGTTTGTTTGTTTTTGGGACAAGATCTTGCCATATAGTTCAGGTTAGCCTTAAACTCACTATAGCCAAAGCTGGCCTCAAACTCAAGGTATAGTGTTCTGCCAGGCTCAGTCTCTTAAGTGCTGGGATTAGAGGGGTGTGCCATGTCACACACCACAGGTGAGGCCATTCCCAGCCAACAAAACAGGAAATCTGAAAGAAGAACAAAGATAAGACACCATGTCCAGATGCTTTGGTTCCAGGAACTTTGATTACCTCTGTACTGCCCCTTCTCAGAAGCATGACCACATTCTCTCTACATCCCAAATTCCTTAAAACAGCAACTACTTTCCAGATGAACCCCGAGCAACCTCCCATTTAAAGCCTTTCTTCTGCCCTTGCTGAGGGCTGACTCTCTTCTTGGATTCAGCTCGCTTGCACCAAGTGAAATACACAGCTTGATTGGTTTCATAAGGCCTAGAGGGGTGCTCTCTCTCCTCTCTGAGCCTTTAACACACAAAACGCTTCTGAATATTTTTGAGAAGATTCTGACCACCCAGCATGGCATATTCTATTTTGCTAGAACAAGATCCTAAACATTCCATGCTTGGGCTGGGGTTGGCGATACCAGTGGGAAAGTCTATGATCTTGGAGGTTCCATAGAATCCAGTCTGGCACCAGGCAGTGTCCAGGCCCTGGGACCGTGAGCAGGAACATGGGCTGGTGCTGCTTGCTGAGCTCCTCGATGGCCTCCACGGTGTCCTGCAGACCACCGCCCTCCCTGTGCAACAGCTGAAGGTGCTGTGGAGGCCGCAGCACTGCAGGTCCCAGGGATGGGCTGAGCACCAAGGGCGATCTCACTGCAGAGTCCTCACATGCACGATGTGGGATGAACTAGGCCCAGGCCTGGAGAAGACCTCATGGGTCCCCTTGGGATTCCCATGGGGTGGGCTGCACTTCCACCTGGGTCCTGGAATCTGGACTCTGGGAGCAAGCAGGCCTGATACTGAGCCTCCACAGTGCCCCTGACTAAGGCTGTGTCTGCTCCCACAGCACAGGAATATGACCTGGGAGCCAGGCATGGTGGCCCTCACTTGTGATCCCAGCATTCAGAGGCTGAGGCAGGAGGATCATGAGTTCCAGGCCAGCCTGGGCCACATAGTGAGTTCAAGGTCAGCCTGAACTGCATGGTGAGAGCCTGTCTCACAAATCGAAACAAAAGGCTGATATGAATAAAGAAGTAACCAGGAAATGACCCCTGATGAGGACAGTGTGTGTAGACATCTGTCCTCCACAGAGAAGGAAGGAGTAGCTTCACACTGCAGGACCTCACAGGACACTGCCTTGGCCACGTGGTCAGTGTTAACCTCCCCAGGACCAGGCACATCTGACCAGCTGCCTCCCTCTGTGACCCCATGGAAGGACCCAGTGTTATCTGCAGGATCTTGTCAGGAATGTACAGCCTGAATCTGATCATGGGAAGTACCAGGGAGACCTCAACAGAGGAATATGCTAAAATTACTGTGGCTTGTCGTCTTCAAAATCTTCAAAGTCATACTGGGTGTGCTGGTGCAGGCCTGTCATCCCTGCATTCTAGGAGGCTGAGGCAGGAGGAACAGAAGTGGAAAACCAGCTTGGGCAATTCATTATTTCACATTTTCAGTTATGCTTTTCCTTGTCTTCTATTTTGTTAATGAGGAAATACCAGATAGATGTCAATAGAGGCACATTCTGAAAATTCTTTGTTCTATCTTCTTCAGAAATTTCAAAGTCATGCTGGGCATGGTGCTGCTTGCCAGCAATCCCAGCACTCTGTGGCACTGAGGCAGGAGTATCCCATGTTCAAGCCAAGGTGGGGAATTTATTTTAATTTTTAATTATGATTTTACTTGTCTCCTTCTAAAGATATTTTTCTGTGGTTTTTGGCATAAGGTCTTGCTACATGGTTTAGGCTGACCTTGAACTCACTATGTAGCCCAGGCTGTAATTCATAGCCTGGGCAATTTAGCAACTTAGTGAGACCTTCTCTTGAAATAAAAAACAAAACAGGTGTGGATGTATGTCAGTACTAAGGGCCCCCATTCAACAGGTTCGATCCTCAGTACCAGAGAAAAAAATTCATACTCATGAAAGATAAAAAAAAAAAAAAAAGACCATGGAGGCCTCACACAATTTGGAGAAGACTGGGTGCCTGTTATAGATTACTTTCAGGGTGTCCCCCTAAACTCTCCTATGTTCACAGGCAGGGTTTTGGGGAGGTGACTTCTTCTTGGGAAGTGTATACTCCTCAGGGGATCCACCCATTCAGCCCTCACCAGCGAATGCGCGTTAGGGGGTGGGGCCTGGCAGGAGGCGGTCCCTGGGGCGTGGCCTGGAAGGGTTTATCTTCCTCCTGCTCCTCCTTCTGTCTGCTTCCTGGCCACCCTGCTGTGAGCAGCTCTCCTCCTCCCAGGCCCATCCACCTCGCCCTTCTCCCTGGGAATCACTGACCACAGAAGGACCTGGACTTCTACAACTGTGAGTCAAAGTAAACCTCTCCTCCTTTAAGCTGGGGGTGTTGAGGATTGGTCTCAGACATGAGGAGGTGACTAAGACGCTGACCTGAAGGAGGAAAAAGCTAAGCAGGAGGTTACTTAGGTGGCTGAAGGCTGAATACAGATTTTGGATCTTGTAAGAGTCTTGTGTTCATGCTGAATTTTCTGCCTTTTATCATTATACTGTCAATGTACAAGAGAACATTTTCATGCCTAGGCTTTCCCAAAGATGTACCGAGGTGGAAGCAGACATGAATTCCAAAACTTGCTGTTGAATCATTTTTTAGATGGTTAGAGAAGAGAGAGAACGATAGAGGGCCAGGAATGCAGTTCAGTTGCACCTGCCTGGCAAGCGAAAGGTCCTGAGTTCCATAGCCAGTACTGGGAAATAAAAGTGAGAGAGAAGGCTAGAAAACATGACAGAGTAGCATGGAGCAGTTGTCTGTGCCTGTCAGCCCAGGTCCTCCTGAGGGAGTCAGGAACATCTTGAATTCAAGTCTAGCCTGGGCAACTTACCAAGGATCTGTATCAAAACAGAAAAAAAATGATAAACAAAAAGGGGGGGTACCTGTTTTTCAATCAACAAAATTGGGTCAGAGGAATTGTACTTGTGTTGTAACTTTTCTGTGAATGTGAAATTATTTCAGAGTGAAAACTCCAAGCAGCATGGAGGCACAGTGACCTAACCAATAGCTTTGGCAGAATCCCCCCAAGACAGAGAGGGACAAGGCAGCCCAAGGGTGCTCTTCCTGTGCCTGTTCTCTGCAGCCACCTCCCTCCCAACACCTTCTGTATTCTCAGCCAAAGAAACAGGAATTAGCTGGGTACACTGGTTCACTCCTGTAATCCCAATACTCCATAGGCCGAGGCAGGAGGATCGCCATGAGTTTGAGACCAGCCTGGGCTACACACTATGTTCAAGGCCAGAGTGAACGATATAGGAAGATAAAAACAAAGAAGGGTTCATGACTAGGGATGCTGTGGGCTGTCTTGGCAGAGTCAAAGGGAAAGAGGGCTCTGGCTAAGGATAGAGACCTGCAGGTTCCAGGACAGCCTGGGCCACTTGATGAGATAATGTCTCCAAATAAAATTCTGAACAAGGGCTGCAGATGTAGTTCAGTGGGAGAGCACTTGCCTCGCATGTGTGAGGTCTGGGTTCAATCCCCAGGAGCAGCACAAATAAAAAACTGTGTGGGAAAGACAGGTAGGCGTGCATGAAAGTCCAGCATTCTTACTGTTTTTGAGGCTGTGCCTTCTGTGTGGTTCAGGTCGCTGTGACCTCGCTCTGGAGCACAAGCTGCCCTTGTACTTGCAGTGATCCTCCTGCCTCTGCCTGCCAAGGGCTGGTATTAGAGTTGTCTGTCACCATCCTGGCCAAATGAAAGAATTTCAGTATGATGTTTGTACTATTAGAGCATTTTTTGGTCTTGATTTTGGTTTTTGGTGCTTTGAACTGGACACAGGGCCTTTGACCCCATTTATCCAAGACGTGGAAGTGACATCAAGGCGTCTTTTCAGCAGTGCTGCAGATGGAACTCAAGGCCTTGCACAGGCTAGGCAAGCTCTCCAGCTCTGAGCTGCAGCCCTGCCCAAGGCTGTGGTCTTCATCTCTCAGAATGCTCAAGCTCCGAGAGCCCCCCTGGGCTGACCCCTGCTGGGTTGTGAGCGCTTCACATCTCAGAGCTAGCACCACCCATCCTCATGCAGAAAGCACTGACATGTTTGTTTCCTGTCTGTGCACTGTGTGGAAGCTGCACTTCATTCCCAAGTGGTCCCCGTGAGCAGTGGCCCCTGGGTCTGTGGAGAGCACAGGGCTGTGCTGGGTGCCCAAGCCTTGGCTTCTGACTGAGCGTGGGTGTGAGCTGTCAGGACACAGTGCGGTTTCTGTGCAGATTCACAAGATGTTGTCACCACACCCCTGCACCTGCTGCCATCCCTCCAAGCCTGTGACAGCATAAGCATGTGGGTCTTTGCTGAGAACATGGCGCTCTGCATCACCTGAGGGCTGCTGTCACTGAGACTCTTTTCAGGCACACCTGGACATTGGCTATTCTTCTGGGGGTAGACATGTGGCCTCACTCACTGGCTTTGATTTTCCTTTAGGAATAAAATCGTATCTCAATATCAGCCTTCATTTAATATTAGGTAGTAGAATTCTAACTATATTTTGTAAATTTAAATACTTACCCTAAAAACAGAATTTTATATGTACAGTGGTGTCTTTTGTCTCCAAGAGTGCAGAGACACTAGAGCAATGGAAAAATAATAATAACATCAAGATATTTTGTAGCACACTTGGTGGGGAAGGTTAGGACTGTGCTCCGCAGTTATGCTGCAGTAAATTTTGTAGCCACAGCGCTGCTGATGAGCATTCTCAGGGCAAGTGAGGAATGGTTAAGGAACCAGACAAACCCAGTATTTGTAATCAGTCTTTTAAATGAATGCTTCCTGAGGCAGGAGGATCGCTGCAAGTTCGAGGCCAGCCTGGGATACATAGCGAGACACTGTCTCAAAAAAAAAAGATCAATCTTTGACCTTTTTGATGCTTTTTGGTTTCCTGCTCAATTTTTTATTCAGGACATCAAGAACTTGGACACGAACCTCAGTCCCTCAGGAGAGAACACCCAGGTTTCACTACTGGTTTAAAAAAAGGAAAATGAATAAAATATAGATAGGTAGTGATGCTATTGGTGGCATTATTGTTGTTATGGTGATGATAGTTTAACGAGATTGGGTGTTACAAAATATGGACAAAGAATTATGTAGAAAATGACAGGAAACATTGAGGAGGAAATGATTAATGCTGTTTTTTTGTTACATCAGGATCGGAACTCAGGACCTCACAAGTGCAAGGTAAGCAATTTTTTTCTTTTGGTTTCTTCTAAGACAGAAGATGGCTGTGTAGAGACTATGTGGCCCAGGCTGGACTCAAACTCATGGCACTTCTCCTGCCTCAGCCTCCTGGGTGCTAGGATAATAGGTACAACCGATTCCAGATTGCTTAGGTAAGCATGGAGTGGTATCCTGAGCCATTTTACCTTTAATTTTTAGACAAGGTCTTCACAAATCTCCCAATCTGGCACCCAACTTGGGAATCGCCTGGGTCAGCCTCTTGTGTAGCTGGGATTCCAGCTGTACCCCCTGCTTGCTGCCATCCTCTTGGTTTTCCAGAGGAGGAAGCAGAACTTGAGAGGTCAAACTGCCTGTGGTCACAGCTAAGGAGCGAGTGATCAGAGGGTGGCTTTACCCTGGTCTCCGTGACTCTGGGGCTGCTGTTGGGTAGAAGCAGAGGGTTTGGTCCAAGATTCTGCTTCTGCTCTGCGTCCCAGAGCTGAACGTTCAGGTTATGCTGCAGGTGGTCAGAAAAGACTTAAAGGACAAACATGAAGGAAAGCAGGTGAGAAAGCTACCCAGAGAATGGAGGAGGGTGCTTAGCAGGGCTGCGTCTGATGAAACATTAGTATTCAGAACACAGCTGGGTGTGGTATCCACGCCTGTGTGCCCAGCACCTGGGAGGCTGGGACCAGAGCATCGAAAGCTGCAGCACAGCCTGGGCAGCTCAGCAGCTTAGCAAGGCCTTGATTCTAAACAAGAAATGAAAAAGGGCTGGAGATGTAGCTCAGAGCAAAGGCCCTGGATTCAAGCCCAGCACCACAGGGGGAAAATCTGAATATAAAAGGAACCCCTATAAATCAACAATTAAAAGCCAAATAATCCTTATGAAAGAATGGGCAAAGGACTGGAATAGCTATTTCTGTGAAGATAAACAAATGACCAACAGCACAGGAAAAACTGTCAGCCTCACTGGTCATTAGAGAAATCCAAATCAACATTATAAGGAAATACAAACTCATTGTATTCCTCATTTGTAAGGAAATACAAAGCCATCAGGATGAACACTGCTAAAAAGAACAAGTCCAAAGAGAGATAAAACAGATTAAAAAAAGAGAGACAAAATAATATGTGCTTGTAAGAAGGTAGAGAAATTAGGACGCTAGTGCACTGTTGATGGAAATGCAACATTTGTGGGGAACACAGAATTGTGGGAGATCAAAGAGTCAAATTTCCTTAAAAATCAGTCATCTCAGTTCTGGGTGTATACACAAAGGAACTGAAGAGCAGGTCTAGAGGAAATGTCTGCAAACCCACGTTCACTGCAGCACTGTGATTAAGGGTGTGAGTGCTCCCAACCTAAGTGGTCTGAAGAGGACCCAAGGGAGAGAAAGAGCTGTTTGCCCCTCGGTGCCTTTGTTGTGTTCCACGCCATGCACTGTGGCCCCTCTACCATGAGCCACTGTGCTTGGAGCCAGCCAACTATGCACTGAAACTTCTAAGTGAGCTAAGTAAACCTCCCCTTTAACACTGGGTGTCGAGTATTTTGTCTCAGCAACGAGGGAAAAGTAACTGAGCCAGATGCCTACTGAGGGGTGAATGTGTCAAGAACATGTGATTTGTGGATTTGACTGTGTATTTTTCAGCCTTAAAAGGAAAGGAGTCCTTGGGCTGGGGATTTAGCTCAGTGCTTCAGGTGCCTGCCTCGAAAGTGCAAGGTCCCTTGTTCCATCCCTGGTACCACAAAAAAAGCAAAACAAAAAAAAGAGAAAGGAGTCCTGCCACATGCTACAGCATGTGTAAAGCTAAGGACGTTATTTTTTGTGAGATAAACAAGTCCCAAGCAAAGAAATCTGTGATTCCTTTACATGAAGTAATTGTATGCACAGAAATAGCAGAATGATGGTTCCCAGGGAAGGGGAAAGCAGGAGTTGTTCAAGGAGTACAGACGCTGAGGTCTGTAAACTCACTGATTTATTCCTAACTGGATGCTGTTCCGCCCTCGCCTGGCTCGGGATCTGCTCCCCGAGGAGTCCCCAGCACCTAACTGGAGCCACAGGCGCAGGGCTCAGATGCAGCTCCCTTACAGTCACCACGACTCTAAAATTAAATTTATGGACACAGAGAAGAATAAACAGCCAATTCAAAGCCAGCCTGCTCTACACAGTGAGACTAGGTCTCCAAAAATCAACAGAATAAGCAGAATGTAAGAATAAATCTACTTTTTTACCTTTCCGAGGGTCCACATCTGCGTTCTCTGCGCAGGGCCGCCCGAAGCCATGCTCTTCCCGGCGGAGAGTGGGGGGGAACCGAGCCTCGCCAGCTGTTTTCTCCCGGACGCAGTGAACGGGCTGATGCGTGAATGTGGAAACCGCCAAAGCAGACCTCGGCGGCGACCTGGCACGAGCAGGAGGCCCATCAGTAGGCCCGTGCCTCTGCCCAATCCTCGGCCCAATCCGAGGCCAAGTCCGAGGCCCAGTCCGAGGCCCAGTCCGAGGCCCAGTCCGAGGCCCAGTCCGCGGCCCAGCCCTGGACCCAGCCCTAGACCCAGCCCCGGGCAAAGCCCCAGGCCCAGCCCCGGGCCCAGCCCCGGGCCCAGCCCCAGGCCCAGCCCCAGGCAAAATGTTTGGCCACCAACTAGAAATAGGGGCCCAGTTTGTAGCAGCGCGCTCACCTTGATTTCCTCCAATCAGGATCTTGGCCCCGCCCTCTGGGCTGAGCCTCCTTCCTGCATCCCCACCCCTTTCCCCTGAATGCCTGCGGAGCCCTGGAGTCCACGGTGAGTCCTGAGCCTGGGAGTTCTGTGCCCACCTGGGAGAGGTCAAAGTTTCAGTGTCCAAACAGCTGCTGCCAGGTGATGGTTGAGGAGCTGAGGGACAGGGGAGGGGCCTAGGGAGGACCCCACCTTCCAGGATGACCCCAGCCCTGGGGCAACTTAGCAAGACCCTGACTCAGAAAAAATGAAAGTAAAAAGGGACAGGGATGTAGCTCAGCGTCAAGGCCTTGTATTCAACCCCCAGTACCACGAAAACAGCGAGAAGGGCGACTTTGGAGCCGGGCACAGCTGTGCACACTACCAATCTCAGCATTTAGGAGGCTGAGGCAGGAGGATCAGGAGTTTGAGGCCAGCCTGGGCCTCCTAGTGACAACCTTGTCTCAGAAAAACAAAAACAAAACAAGAAAATGATAACTTTTCCTAAAAACTGCCTGTGAGATGACTTTGTAGAACCCAAAGCTATGATATCTAACTGCTGAGTGAGGTGGTGCAGACCTATAGTTCAGTGTCTGGGAGCCTGAGAAGCAAAGATTGCCTGAGTCAGGAGTTCAAGAGCAACCTGGACAGCATAGTGAGACCCCATCCCTAATAAATACCCCAAACCACAGTTACTGTTACAGGAAAGCTTCTCAGGGGTAACTAAACATCTAACTTAGTGCACATCTGTGAGAAAGCTCCAGACATTCTATAGGAGCAGCTGGTGTTTAAGTGGTAGCCGATCCCATATAACGGGGCCAGTTCTGGTCATTAATTATTCTCTAATGCTCAAGCACTGGACATTCGGAATTTATTCAAATGGCTTTTGTGCAATATTCAACATTTGTGTAATTTACTTACTTTTTTTTTTTTAGTCAGGGTGTTACAATATAGTGCAGGATGGCCTTGAGCTCACTGTGTAGCCCAGGCTGCCCTCAAACTCATGGTCCTCCTGCCTCAGCCTCTTAAGTGTGAGCCTTGCTTGCATGTACCACTCATATTTCTCTCTCTCTCTTTTTTTTTTCTGTAGTACTAGGGACTATCATGCCTGACCTGAGTGAGGCCCTCTCAACAAACATGCTGTCTTCAACAAGCAAGAAACCATGAGAGGGTCATGCTGCCCTCAGTGAACAGCACAGGTGGCCATAAAAAAAATTGAGGACAGGATGTGCAATCTCCCTGGCACCGAGAAGTCCGACATTATCTGCACACCTTCCCTGACCATCCTGGGTACCTGGACCACAGCATTCCACCCAGATTCCTTAAGAGAGCACCCCTTCCCCAAGCCCTATGAAACTTTGCTTCCCTCTGGCCAGTTGCTGACATCTTTTCTGATCTCAGCCCATCTGCCCCCTGGTGGAGAATAAACCAGCCTTTTGCTCACAAAGCCTGTGTCAAGCTGGTCTCTTGTGCAGCGTTTCTCACAGGGACTGAACCCCGGACCTTTGCACTGAGCTGCATCCCCAGCACTGATTGAATTTTAATTTTTGAGACAAGGTCTTGCTAACTTGCCCAGGCAATTTAGATGTTCCTGTCTCAGCCTCCCAGGCATCTAGGATCACAGGTGAGCACCACCACGCCCAGCTAAGATTTTCATCTTCATCACTGGTTTTCATCCACTGAATGATGAAGTGCCCTCCAGTTTATACTGAACTTGGGGTTCATTGAATTAAGTAGACCAATTGATTTCTAGTTTTTTATCAAATTGGAGGTTTTCGGGGATTTTTTTCATATTGTTTTCCTGTCCCTCTTGGTAGTCAACTTTTCTAAAGGGACTCCAATGTTACATAATTTTGCTAATTGACATTTGCCCTCAGGTCACTGGTAGGTGTTTGAATTTTTGTTTTTACATTTTTCGCATCATTCTGAACAGTTCCTTTTACTGTATCTTCAGTTTCGCTACTCTTCTGTATGGTCTAATCCATTGTTAATCCTACCTTAAGCAGGTGTGATAGTTTCCTTCTCCAGAAGTTTGATGTAAGATCTTTTATATCTTTTATTTCTTTCCTCATGTTTCTGCTTTTCTTCAGTTTCTTGAACATTGAAAATTTTTTTCTACTGCTGTTTTTTTTTTCTACTAGCTGTTTAACATCCTTATTGACAGTTCTATCTTTGTCATTTCTCAATCTATTTCTATTGTGTTTTTCCTATTCTTTGGGATATTTTTCTGCTTCTTTGAATATTTGGTAATTTTTTATCAAATGCTGGGTGTTTTGAATTTTATGTTGTTATATTCTGGATTTGGCTTTATTGAATTTGTTAGAAATCCTGCTGGCTTAGCTTCAGGTTTTAGCACATACTTTCCTGGAGTACTGCAGAAATATTTGGCTCCTGTTGTGGTTTATATCTAGATGTCCCCCTAAAGCCTCATGCACTGCTAGGCGGGGTTTGGGGGACATGACTGGATCATGGGGATGTGATATTCATCAGTGGATGAGTCCACTGATGCGCTTACAGCTAAATGTGATTTGGGAAGTGAAGCCTGGTTGGGAGAGGTGGCTCCTGGGGGTGTGGCCTGGAAGGGTTTATCTCCCTGCCTCCTCCCCTAATCTCCCCATTTACTGCCGCCATCTATGAGCAGCTCTCCTCTTCCAGGCCCCTCTACCATGCCACTTTGCTGTGGAGCCAGCCTACTGTGGACTGAAACCTCTAGAAATTTGGAACCAAAATAACCCTTTGCTTCATTTAGTTGTGGTTGTCAGGTATTCTGACCCAGTGACAACAAAGTAACTACAATAATATCTGAGATGCATGGCTTAGGCTACAAACATTGTCAGTTGTTCTGCTTCACTTGCCTCATTGACTAAAAACAAAAGCACAAGATTCTCTGCCTGGGGTACTAGAGTTGGATCTGATAATATAGAAATATCTTTGATTTGTCCATAATTTCCAGTTTTTCGTGTCCAAAGAGGATGACGGCTAACATTTCTTTATTATCTAGCTGTTCCACACTGTTTATGGATCCATGTGTGCCTATAATCTTATTGTTTTTTCTTCCATATTCCAGACATATTAGTTATTACAGGGTAGCAATGACGGTGAATTTGCAACCTCTGAGAGTCTGTTATATACATGATATGTGCTGATTCTCTTTTGAGAGATACAGAAATTAAATCTCCTTTCTGTGTTGACCTTCCTCTGTACTACTTAATATAGTGCCTATCAGTTATCAACCCCCCATACACGAGCATATTTGGGTATATTAAGCTTTCCTATTGCAGGTGCACAATACCCACACCCACAGTTTAAAGTAGGAGAGGTGTAATTTAGCTCACGGTTTCTGGGGATTCAGTCCATGGTAGGTTGGCTCAAGACACAAACATCATTGTGGAAGGGAGTGGGAGAAAAAAGCTATAAAGTTCATGGCAGCCAGGAAGTGAAGCAGGGGACAGCACCTGAGAGGAAGGCGTGAGGGACCAGACCTAGTCCCGTCCTCTCTGTGGGTGGCCGCGGCTTGGGAGCCAGGACCCCTCCCATGGTGTTCGCTGGACTCGGGATCCCTTCCCGGGCTGTGGCCCTGCCTCCAGCCCCTGTCTCACCTGCTCTCCTGTGAAGCCTCTGCCGCCCCCAGATCCGGAGGCCTCCCTCGTGGCTACTGAAACCCGACTTTCCTGCACCTCCCTCCTCTCCTGAAATAGTATTATTTGATTTTTTCCAACCACTTAAAAATGTAACAGCCATTCTTAGTTCACAAGCTGAACACAAGCAGGGAGCAGGCAGTGTTTGGCCTTAGACTAATTTGCTGGCTCTGCTCAGACCTGTGAGCTTTAGGGGCCGGGCTTTGTGCTGACTTTTTGCTGTTGAGTCTCTAGTGCCCAGCGTGGAGCCTGGCTCGTGTTCATACGGAGTGTGTGCAGGTGAGTGTGATCCGTGTGTGCACAGTTGGGCTGGAGGTCACTTTCCCTGCCTTCGGCAAATGCAGGTCATCACTGTGATGATCCTTCCACTGAGAGCACAACAGTGACAGGTTGTACCAAAAACATTTCATCACCTTTGGTGTGTGGACTGAACCTAGCGTCTTGAGCATGCTAGACAAGCATTCTGCCTGTGAGATTGTAAGACTGAACAACAGTTAGTCCATCTTTGTAATACGGCCCCAACTTTCTGCTTCTGTTACGGATCACCAGGTAGACATCAAGTTCCAGAGATGTGTTTGTTGTTGTGCCAGGAAGGTCTGTTGTGGGCATAGTGTTCTGTCTGCTTGCCAACTTCCCCTGCGACCCCCTATAAAAACAGCTTCGGACTCTGAGCCAGTTGCCTCTCTAAGCTACTTTGCTTTGGGAGTGCCGTCTGGCCAGACTAATAAAGGTCTGTTTTACTTTCCAACTTGTCCAGTGTGTTCCTTCCTGGGTATTCTTCGCTGCAGTCAGCTCCTCGGAGCATTTGGTAAGGCCCTTGGTCTTACAAGATGGGTCCCAGCACTTTGCTTAAAATTTGAGACTAGGCCTTGCTAAGTTGGCAAGGCTATCCTTAAATTTATGATCTTCCTGCCTCAGCCTCCTGAGTAAATTGGATTACAAACACAGGTCACTGTGCTTGGCTTTTGGGAAACATTTTGTACCATTTGTATTTTATCATTTGTGTTAGTCTCATTCCCTGAGGTGTCTTATTACAATCTGGGTGAAGACTGTCCTAAACTGGACATCTTACTTAGTACATTTTGCAGGATGGGCCTAATTTGAGGTGATCAGGTAGCTTCAGAAGAAGAAGATAGTTCAGAAGAGATCTCTGAGGATAGAACAGAGGACAGTTCAGAGTCTGAGGATGAAGATCGCAACATTGCCTGTGAAGTCACCATGGAAAACATTAAGCTTCTTAATTCAGAAGGTATAAAATGAGAGATTGAAGTTTTGGACAGTCCATCAACTAAAAACAAAGAGCAGTGAAATGAATGACCTAAAAAGATCATACCTGCTTATTCTGGAAAAATATGGAGTTCTGGGACATTAGGTATTCTTATGTTGGAAATGAAAAATGGTAGACAAATCTAATACTTTGAGCAACAAACCATTCATGAATGAGGCAGCACTCACAGTGGAAGGAGTTCTGAGAGCTCTGCTATGCAGCTACAGCAGCATGGTTTTGTATCTGAATGGAAAAATCAAGGAGAGAAATAACGTGATGAGTTACACGGGGAGGCCTTTGCCCTGGGGGCTCATGGGCTGGGGGCCGGGCTGGGACTGGCTAAAGCTCAGCTCTTTGTGTTTGCCTGAAACCCAGCAATCTGTTACCAAAACACACTCCTATTTCAGCTTCTAACACATGTTTTCTTTGTAAGTCAAGTTGTGCACTGTGATTGTACTTCCTTTTCTAAGTTCTGCACAGTAGGGTGAGTCTAGTTAACAAACAGTTATATCTAGCTACAACTCTGTCTAACTGTATCTAGCTATAACTCTAGATATAACTGGATTTTGAAAGTTTCACTAGAAAGAAATGATAAATATTTGAAGTGATAGATAGGTCAATTACCCTGACTTGATCACTGCACAATGATTACAGGTATCAGAATAGCACAATGAACTCCATAAATGTGCACAATTAGATACTGATCCAAGTAAATGAGTAAAAGAAAAAAAAAACCACACTTATAAATGAGATTTTGGTTTGTTGATGTGCTGAAGGATGCTGCAGAAACTCAGAGTACCAGAGACAACCTTAGGAAAATGACCCTGTGCTTATTTATCTTAAAATATTAGACATATGGTGTTTCTCAGAGAAACCAAAGATAGCTTTTAAAGATCTATAATATGTAGGATTTTTGGCATCTTACAAGGAAAGGCTGATTTTTGTTCTTGTGCTACTGAGATTTAGTGTTTTGAAAAGTGAGCTAATGAACTTTGTCTTCTCGTTTCTCTCTATACTGTTCTTTCCTATGCCTGGTATTGGCCACAGCATATTGTCCCTATCTCCAGGCGGCACTGCAGGTCCTCCCTGCTCTGTCTCAGTGGGATTGGGAGCCAGCTCTCCAGGCCTATGTTTCTGGGTGAAGACCTGAATGCAAAGCTGAGAAGGTTAGAGGACGCTGTGCAGCCATGTGACCAAGCACAGTGGGTTTGTGCCTGGTGCCTGCAGAGCCAAGGAGAACAGCCAGGCAATGCAAGGGTGAGGGAGGTTCATGCAGAGCATCGGGGATGACTTCCAAAGCAGCATCTGTTGCTGATCTTTGATGGTTCTTTGCTCAGTTCAGATTGAAATCACAAAGCAGCACAGAGCAGCTGTGTGAGTGACTCTGGCTCCCAGTGCAATGGCCTTCAGCCCTTAGTGCTGTGTCCCCAAGTGTTACAGCCTTGGAAGCCCACAGCTCCCTGTTGGCTCTCTGGAGTTCTTCTAGCAGCTTCCCTGCTCCTGTGGGGCCCTCTGCAGGTGTCTGCCCAGGGCT